TATATATATATATATATCAGGCTCGTATTTCGATATAAAACTCGATTTCATTTTATCTCGGAATTGTCGACGAACGATTTAATATTTAACAATGCCTGTTGAATTTCAATACCTTCGGACGAATTAAAAACGAACGAATGAGCAAATGAACTAACGTCGTTACGGTTTTTATTGCATAACGTGTGCAATGGGGGAAAGAAAAAAATGAAAAAAAAAAAAAAAACAACAACATATATTATAAAATACACATACATAAGTATAAGTGTATGTATATCGTACATGTATACAGGCTGTTTCAAAAATTCGCTCAGGCTGCTTCATAAATTACTCGAGTCGTTGTCTTGGTGCTTGAAAATCAGAATACACAGGACAATCATCTTATCGGTAATCCTTCATGGTAGCCAAACGTGGTGTCACTTACGTTACGGGACCAAAAGAAATTGAAGGCTTTTCGAAAATCAAGTTGTTTCGTAAAATGTTCGGTGCAAAATGCGATGAGGAAACGAATGAATGAAGACAACCCTCGATAACATACAAGTACACCAAATGTACAACAAAACCGGACATCATAAACGTCGTAAAATCACGCCGATTAAGATGGGCAGGTGTCACGAGGCGTGCATGGGGGGTGCATAAAATACTGGTCGGTATACCGAACGGGAAAAGACCATTGGGTAGACTGAGACGTAGATGGGAGGACAATATTGTTTCGGCATCTTAAAGAAATGGGCTACGAAAACCACGAATGGACGGGGTCAGGCTCAGGGACGAGAACACTGGTGGGATTTGATATTTACAGCAATGAACTTTTGAGTCTCTAATGTTAATGCATAATAATAATAATAAAAATAATACGAGTCATATGATATGTTTCTTAAAATATTCTGTGCAAATTAAAAAAAAAGAATCTGTGAGTTATTTAAATTTGATAGAAGAACTTTTGAGACAACCTGTATATGTATGTGTTTATATATATATATAATACATATTTTGAGATATACAATTTTGCAACGATTATATAATAGCTTGTTGGGGGGGATGGGTAGGGG